CAGCAGCATACCTATAGGCTGGGGAACTCCCTTCTCAAAAGCATGGTGGCAGAAAGAGATCTTGGAGTCATTATTGACTCCAAGATGAACATGGGCCGACAATGCGAGAACACGGTCAGTAGGGCTAACCGTACCTTGTCGTGCATCCACAGATGCATCACAAGCAGGGCCAAGGAGGTGATCTTCCCCCTCTGTGTGACACTGGTCAGGCTGCAGCTGGAGTACTGCATCTAGTTCTGGGCGCCACACTTCAGGAGGGATGTGGACAACATGGAGAGGGTCCAGAGGAGGGCCACTCGCATGATCTGGGGACAGCAGGACAGACCCTACAAGGAGAGGCTACGGGACCTTAATCTGTTCAGCCTTTGCAAGAAAAGGCTGAGGGGGGACCTGGTGGCTGTCTATAAACTCACTAGGGGGGACCAGCTGGGATTGGGAGAGATCTTGTTTCCCTGAGCACCTCCTGGAGTAACAAGGAATAACGGCCGTAAGTTGTTAGAGGGTAGGTTTAGACTAGACATTAGAAGGCACTACTTCACAGTTAGGACAGCTAGGATCTGGAACCAACTTCCAAGGGAAGTGGTGCTGGCTCCTACCTTGAGGGTCTTTAAGAGGAGTCTTGAAGTTTACCTAGCTGGGGTCATTTGAGTCCAGTTTTCTCTCCTGCCCAGGGCAGGGAGTCAGATTAGAAGATCTACAAAGTCCCTTCCGACCCTACATCTATGAAACTATGGACCTTAGGGAGACAGGGGCCCTGGGTACCAACTGCACACCTGATTAGCTTTGGGAGAAGGAGAGGACATTCTCTCTGATCTAATCCCATGTTCCTCTGCCTGTAGCATAATGCAGAACCAGATACGTTCCACTACTAACAGGTGAAGATCAAAGTTAGATGGTCAAAGCTCCACCCGATCCTACAAAACCCATCAGGCAAGCGCAGGTGAGACATGCTGGTTTCTCCAGCCAAACCCCGCTAGAGAAAACAGGTGTTGGGCAAGTACCTTACCATTCTTCCCTGAAATGGACGGTAGCTTCGTTTCCATCCGCCCCTTGTAGATGTGTCCATCTAGGCCCAGGATATCCACCTCGTCATGCTGCAGAGGAAATGCAAAGATGGAAAAGACAATGGTGCCAGTGGTTAATGTCAGCCTTGGGCAGTGTGGGGGAGGCGGCATGGATTGGTTTTCAAATGCCTCCTCTTTAAATGAGGAGCAGTGAAACTCCCTGAAAATAGGCTGGGTGGGATGGACAAGGGGGAATATTCTTCTCTGGGGTCATTCATCTAATGTCCTCCATAAAACATGACTGTGGGGTTCTCTATAGACAAGTGACTGGGTGAGAACATCACAGTCTGAGGATCCTAGTCAGCTGCAGTCAGGACTCCTAGTCATTCAGAGCCAGCTCTAGATACCTCTACCCCATGCTGGAGTCTGCGGTGTACATACACCTGTAGCAACTCTGTATCTGATCCAATCATTTTATATGCAAATCGGTGGCTTCTTTAACCACTAGCCCAGCAAACTTATCCAGGGATCTAAGAGTCAAGTTGGGTTCTTTCCAGCTCAATCAGTTCCTCCATCAGGACTCAGCAAACTGTCGAGCTGATGATATGCGAGACAAAAATAGAATTCAGCTCATGCGACGGGCTGCGCTGGCTCCATGGGACGAACAGGAGTAACATCCTGTTTCTGTTGCTATCATCAGCAGATCTGACTCCGCACACATCCAGAGGGCAGATCTGCTGAGGAAGCAGGGGCTGTGTTTATACAGTCACTTTCCAGAGCAGGGCTCTACACTTAAAAAAGCCTCATCCTCCGTGCATGCATGCTCTTCACAGCAGTACCTTTGTACTGAGAAACAGGGTGATGTACCCTGCCTTGGTTCAAAAAAGCACCTACTCTGCTTATAGGAGTACCACCAGCCACCATCCCAGACAAAACGTAATGGTCTGCATGGGTCAGTGGAAGAAGGGGTGTTGTTCTGGACACATGCATGTGTGTCTGTGTTAGATATCACTCCAGAGCAGGTACTCCATAAGCACCACCTGAAATGTACTTTATAGAATGCCCTTCCCTTCTGATAAGCTAAAAAAGTGCAGGGAGTTATTTTGGATTTACACTGCTGAAGCTAAGACCCAGGGTATGCTTTTCCAAAGGTAACTACATCCAACTGATTTTCAGGGGTGGGGATGACAACATCAATGTACTTTCAGAAGCATCTAAGGGAGTTCGGAGCCAGTGAGTCCAGACAGATTGTTTCAGCCTTGCTTTCCTCTTCTAGCTACTTTTAACATCGGGCCTGCATTTCAAGTCCAGGGTTGAAACCTCTGTAGGCAGCAGGAAGAGCAGAAAGGAAACTGCCCATGACAGATGCCAGGAAGTGGGCACTACTAGGACATCATGCAGGAGCCCTTAGGGTTGGTGGAGCGCGCTCTCATATCCCTTTTGGAACAGGAGACTAGTGCATGTGGTATTTCCCTCTCGGTCTCTCTCTGTCCCAGTCCTTGCAGGGAATTGTGGGTGTGGAAGTGGGCTGTTATTAAGATCATCAGCTTAGGGATCTGTCTCCCACAGCCTAGGAGCAGGGTGGTCATGCTAGTAAGGGCAAAGTCTCTCAAGAAGCAGCAATGTACAAGCTCAGCAAAGACAGATGAAGCAAGGGCCACAGCAGGCAGGCTGGGCTTTTTGGCAAGCTGATTTATGTGGTAAGGAAGCACTGGCAGGAAAAAGCGGGTTGCAGAGAGGGAATGCAGGGATAATATTGTATTAGGCCACCACTGTTCCTGGCCTCTCTCCCCACCGCCGTAGTCACTGTTACCTTCATCACTGCCAGCATA